TAATGATAACGAATACACACTACAGGATCCGCAAATACCAACACGTCATAGAGGACCAAAAGATGAAGTTACAAAGGACACTCACGTCAGAACATTTGGAAATCTTGACAATAGCCATCGAGATATCATGCAAACGACACAGAGAACAAAGAAGAAACACCTTGAAGAAAAAACTAATCAAGATCCTAAAACCACCAATGGAAGAAAACACAAACAACTGCGTGATCAATCTATCAAAACAACCACTAACAAATACAGAAGAACACCTACTCCGAAAGAGATTAAACTACAATACAAGCAACGCCTCAAAACTGGGATTCTTCGCAGCACTAGTCATCACTCAAAACTTCCGGAATTAGTGAAGAAACACAACAAGAAATAAGGCAAACTATAGTACCGCTAACTCAACAGGTGAAGGAGAACAACCAACTGACCCCACAAGAACTAAAAGCTTTGAAGGAACTCAGAACTAGAAAGGATATTGTCATAGTTCCAGCGGACAAAGGACGCACCACAGTAATTATGGACAAAGAAGAATACGTCAAAAAGGCCGAGGAATTACTTGAAGATAAGAACACATATAAACTGATGAATATAAATCCCGTCAAAAATTAGACAACCGAATCTCAAAGACCTTAAACAAGCTAGTCAAATCAGGAGAAATAACAAAACAAGTCCAATGGAGAATGAAATCCAATGGACCAGTACAAAACTGGTGATGTCGTTCAGAAGAACGATGAAAGCTCCACGACCAAACCATCCAGCTCAGATAAAAAAACTCTATCAAAATGAAAACTTATTCATACGTTTCATATCTTCGATTCCTAAGTGACAAAATTGGTGATTACAAAGTAGCACAAGCCTATCATGTGACATACCTATCAATAACTAGGCAATTAGATTGCTGGCAATCTAAAGTCTGATCATTTTTGAAATAGCATTTCAAGTTTGGGTTTAGATGAACAGAATTATAAGATTTATTTTATTTCCCAAGTTACTAACATGTAAGTAATTCAGACCTACTTTGTTTTAGGAGCAGTTGGATCCCTAACGTTGTATATGTTTCTCAGGATTTTTATATTTATTTCTATATGGTTTGTAGATTTTGTAAGACAATTAACTTCATAAACCAATCTGTTTTGCAAAAATCTAATCCGAAAGTGTGATACCGAGAATTCTCTCCATTTTATGGATATAAATGGGATTAAAAAGGCTATATTCCTCTCTATTCTCTTAGGTTTCATGGGTCTCAACTATTTGACAATATCGAAAAGCCTAAGACCGGTGAGCTCATTGATTGCAATTTCTCTCTCAACAGTTATGTCAGTACTATTACGACTACAAAATGCTTAACTGGACTGACTTGGTATTGAAAGCCCTAAACCCAACGATGCACAGTTAGATTTTCAAAAATTGCAATCAGTAATATTTAACATATTTGCCATATTATACAACTATTTTGCATTTATGGTTTGAAGAACTTTCGGGAGGTTAAAAGCCAAAATCAGAAACATCAGTTCTGGGGACCGAAACCACTGCGACAACCCACTGAAGCCTGATTACCAAGGAAATTTGTAGCCGCAGAAATCCTACCTCATAAGTTTTTCTCTAACTTAAAATCTACACAATTCTAATGTATTGTTTACATTAAGTATACTTTATGTGGACGATGTTATAGTGATGACTACCGTCCAAGAATTTTCTAAGACGGGTCCCTCAGAATTTATCCAAAACAGACAATTTTCCACAAAATAAGGAGATTAATCTCTTTATTTTGTGGATCCAATATCCATGGATTCATATTTATTGGCCATTGACCACTACGGTTAATTGTTCTAAATGCATCAAAAACTGACATAACTTAAAAAACAAGACGCGAAAAAGTAGTTCCTATTGTTGAGAGACGCGAAGACTAAGAAGAACCCACACACAGTAGCTAACCTGTGCAGCAACATCAAGGTCACACTGAGCGATTCCAAATAACGAGGCGTTTGACAAGTCTTTCAAATTTCGTTAAACAAAAGGAAGAAGAGCAAAGGACTCGAGATTCAAGTTAACCTTCCGAATTTCTAAAGGTATTGTTATTTCGGGATTCCAACTGAAAAATCTTCGTTTTAAATCAATTGCCTAACTGGACAGTTATTAATGTCTTTAGTTGTAAGGAAAGGTTTATCGAGCTGTATTATTCTTTGTGATTTTTAACACTGTGAACGTCCAATCTCGCTTTGAATGTTTCAACACCACCATAATTAAGGAGGTGAATGAGATGCAAATGGTTACACAGTTCATTTTTGCATATAACTCCGGTATGGGTAATTAGATTACTAACATGACCACAACTAATAAACAATTAGAAAAGAAAGTTAGTGTCCACTCGTCAGCATGGCCGAAAGCAAAATATGCCCATGTAGTACATGCTTGCTGTTATTAAGAATCGACCATCTATTGATGATTTTGTCTTCCAGATTAAACGTTATTTATCTCCACAAATTATCTCGTATAATATTTTATTACTTTATTACTTTAGCTGAGTTTCGTGGCCAGAATGGAGATATTAGTGTTAGAAATTTGTGTTTTAGGTTGGATTGCTCGTTCATTTTTTCCGCCACGTATTCGGCCTGAATTACTTTGGATTTATACCGAGTCAGTCTGTAATGCGGCAGGAATTCAAGTATTAACTCATCAATACTTGTTATTTGATTCTAGTTCTTCTAGGGTTGTGTCGTATCATACACTGAGAGCTTCAAATCCCCATCAGGTTACTATGAACGACTCACTAGTAGTTTACTTGATACCATGCTAATTGCTTCAACCTACAGTTTACAAACAGCTACCAATATCCACGTTCATCACCACCATAATTAAGGACTTGGATTATATGTAAAAGTTCTTAACACTCATTCTTCCATAAAAATCTGATTATGGTCTATTTATGACTTGGTAAACGGTGAATTTCACTAGCCTGAATTAGTAATGTTACAAATAACCACATTAAGCTTACTAAACATTCACACAGTTTGTCAGCAATAAATATGTTAAACTACTAATAAGCTACAATAAATGTCATGTAACAAGCAAAAACATTACGAAAATTAACGTGAGATGGAAAGAAAAATGTTTTACCTGTAAATAACGACATCCCAAAATCCTAGATGATATGTTACATGTGCGCGAAAACCCACTGCGTAACAGCCTGCCGTGCCTTTCAACAGAAGGTTATGATATTAAATGCTCTGGTAGAGAATTCCAGTAATTCTCTGCTGAGTGCGAGAAACGGAACTCCAGATGTAAACGATTGGATCTGTTTTTAGACTTTCCTAGAATGAAATGACTTACGAATAAGAACATGAAGCTCTGCAGTTACTCGTAGTTTCGAGTTCGCCACTTATTATGACTCCTAGATCTTTGCAGTCCATTAACTAAGGTAACAAAACTCCACATACTGTGTAGTGATATGAATAGTCCCAGTTATTATATTGCATCACTCTAACCTTGTTAGAGTTAACTTTTAATGACCACCTGCTCATCCATGCAGTTAGTGAAATAGGGTCATCCCCTGATGCCATTCTATCTGACTTACTTTCTATGAGTCTTCCAGTCTTTATATCATCGGCGAAGTGTAGAACGGATGACACTGTTACAGCTGGTAATTCACTTACATAAATAAACAAATAAAGGTGACCAACGATTTTACCCTGGGGAACTCCACCTTTTTCAGGCTTTCATGCCGAGAGATCTCCATTCGCTCTTACATGCTGTCTCTTATCATTGAGATAGCCACTTATCTAGTTTATGATTAGAGACATTGTCAAAGGCTTTACTTACACCTGTGAAGATTACATCTACAGAAATATTTCTATCTTTCGCCGAAGCCTAGTTGTTTATTGCAGCTAGCAATTCGTCGTGCATGATACGACTTTCATAAAACCGTATTGCTCCACGAATAAAAGATTCTGCCCCCTCCGCATAGTTTAAAAAATAACCAATTGAATAGTCGTTCCAATTAGTTTGACAACTACATGGGTCAGACTAACAGGTCGGTAGTTACTAAATAAGTCTCTGCTTCCCGTCTTGTACACCGGACTAATTATTGTGTCTTTCCAGTCTCTTGGCGATCTAGACAGCCGCAAAGCATACCAAACAGTATGGCCAGAGGTTTAGCAAATACATTCAACATGGCTTTCATATTCAATAATAATAATAATAATTTATTTTCAAATAACAGTTTGTTACATGAGGCATGCCAGTTTACAGGCGAGATCAAATTGATACAAATGATACAAGATTCACTGTAGCAAATTACATAGCTGGGCTGATAATTTATAAGATATGAATGTAGATGGTTTTAATCAGTACTACAGTTGGCGCGCTTCATGAAAGTTGCGTTGCAAATGTGCAACTGATGGTCAAGAATAGGTCCATTGAAGGTGGGAGCTTCTAAATGTCGCAACCTTATGTCCCTTTGGAATGTTCAAGGCTTTGAGGGTGGTGCAGGATGAAATCTTTCGTTTGAGTTGCTCTACACCCGAGGTTGTTCGAATATGTAGTTAAAAATCGTTAGAAAGGAAATGGATGGCGAAACGGATAAGACACCGAGACTTCAAAGTTTCCCCAAATCGGTTTACGTGAATCCTATGATGTTCCACAATTTGGAAAATGAATACTAGCTTAAAAAATGCTCTTCACACCCTGAATACGGACTACTTAAGCCTTCTGAGGGTGAACAATCGCGTTCCATAAGCTCTTCTTCTCCACAAATTTTACGGGAGTTTCATATTTTGTTGGCTGAATGGAGATTAGAAGCTCGTGAACTTGTGGCGTGTATGAAAGAGAAAGAAAGACAATCTGTTTTAGCTTCTGCTGGTATTCAGGCGTTTTCTGAAGATGCTCTGTCTCAAAAGAACATGGACATGCCCGGTGACCTCAAAATCAAAAAAATGTCACAAAGAAACCCTTCTACTTTTGCTGTGTCGTGAAGGAATTCAAGCTTTGTTTCTGGTATGCGTAAACGAAAATCAACTCAATTAATTCGTGGCAATCGATCTTCAAAATTCAGTCGTCCATCCAATTATCCTCCGAATTCATCATGGTCGCGAAAACATTGTTACAATAACTCATTACTAAAACGGCGTGATATAAACAAACCGTCCATTCCAGCTGAAAATCTGAAAAGGACCATACATACTGACAACAAATCCCAATATCTAGATGAAGACGATGATGAGGAAGAAGACCAGTTGACTACTATAGTTTCTCGCCAACGTCAAGCATTTTCTGCGCGTGCTGCTGCCGGTCGTCTAAGTATACGTAAAATACAGTCAGATCTTCAAGTCAAATCTGGTGATGCCGTCTTAAGCACAGTCTCTAGTGTTCCAGGAGCTAGGAGACTTTCAGCTAAAGTGTTACGTGCTTGGAAATCTTTGGCTAAAAAGATAATTTGTAAGGCGGCAAGGCAACGTGGTACTAATCGTCGAGATAAGATAATCCTAGCAAAACGCGCTGCTCGTGAGTGCGCACGTTTGTTACGTCAAAAGGCATTGCTTTCCCAAAAAGCTGCTAGAGATTCAATAAGTCGTGGACATCGTCTGTCACGCGAAATTGCGTCTAACTGGTGTAGCTCAACTTCGAGTACAGCTAATGGTTCGGGTCCACTTACAATCAATGGTGTAACTATACCATCCAATTCTAATATTACTCATTTCTCTTCACTTATGGATTTACCTGATTATTGCACTTCTGCCCGCCCAGAAAGTGGAGGTTTAGAGTTGAACATGTCTACTTCAGTGATGGAATCAAGTACAGCTATACGTCGACGAGCAGAGAAGGTTTCAGCTGAACAACGTAAAGCCAACTTAAAACTTTTGGAGGCAAGAAGACAACAACGAAAACTGAATTTCTTGATTACACAAACAGAATTATATGCCCATTTCTTGGCGAAAAAGATGGCGGATGTCAACTCATGTAATTGTAAATCTGAAGATATACGTGGTCCTGAAAATACTGAATCAGTATCTGGTAATGTGATTCAAGAAGATGACAGTCAAGAAATCGAAGCTCAAAGAATTTTACGTCGACTTGAAGAAACGAATGATGATTCTGTAGAAACAAAAACTAACGATGAAGGGATTGATACTGGTTCTGACATATCTGTTCCATGTGATCCCATTCAGAATGATCAAGATTCTGTTAGTATATCGACTGGATCTACACACCGAAAATCATACAGCTCAATAGCTGTAGCTGCAAAAGCTGCAGCTTGTCGGTTGGGTATTAATGTTGAAGAAGAATATGATGTTGAACAAGCGAAATCCGAAGCTTTAATGAAGGTCAAAGCAGCTGTTACAACTGAACGTAATCGTGTATCACAGTTTCATAGTGGAACTGCAACAAGTCCCAATTTAAACGCCCCCGTTCATAATAATACAGATTCTAGCACAACTACACAAATTGAAACACCAAAGTTATTTAAAGGTCGGTTAAAAACTTACCAGGTCCGTGGTTTGAACTGGCTGCTTGGTTTGTTCGAACAAGGTATCAATGGGATATTAGCTGATGAAATGGGCTTAGGGAAAACTGTGCAAACAGTTGAATTTCTTGATGGCCTGGCGTAAAATTACAACATTTGGGGTCCTTTTTTAATCGTTACTCCAGCTTCAACACTGCATAATTGGACACAGGAATTCGCTAAATTCCTTCCAGCTTTTCGTCTAGTCCCATATTGGGGTACACCAACAGAGCGTAAAGTTCTACGCCGATCTTGGTCATCTACACGTTCCTCTAATGCCGAATCTTTTGATGAATCTGGTGATATTAATCCTGGACAAGCTGGAATTAAGGATTCTCAACTTCAATTCGTTATCAAGTTGTTTTGCAAGATGCGAAATTCATTAATAAAACCGCATGGTCCTACATTATTTTAGATGAAGCACATGCTATTAAAAGCACATCAAGCTTACGATGGAAAATTCTGTTATCTTTTAAATGTCGAAATCGTCTTTTACTCACTGGAACTCCAATTCAGAATACAATGCAAGAATTATGGGCATTATTACATTTTATTATGCCTACATTGTTTGATTCACATGATGAATTTGCTAATTGGTTTTTACGTGATACTGAGTCTCAAGCCAGTGTTACAGCTAGAACTGGCTGTGGGGGAGCAGCGGGAGGAGGAAGTATCATTAGTAGCAGTGGAACTGGATCTTTAATAAATTCAAAATTGAGTGAAAATCAATTATCACGTTTAAATTTAATTTTAAAATCATTCATGTTACGTAGGATAAAAACTGAAGTTGAACATGAAATATCTACTAAGACTGAGATTATGTTATATTGTCCATTAAGTCATCGACAACAAATATTATATGAACGATTACGTAGTAAGATTCGTCTTGAAGATCTTAGCTCCATCATGTCTGCGAATGGAATATCAGATAGTTTTTCATCGAATTTGGATAATACTAATGCATTGTCATCGTCTTCGTCAGCTACAGCCCATTTAATTAATTTAGTGATGCAGTTAAGAAAAGTATCATCAGGACCACTGAAATTATCTGGTTTGAAATATGGAAAGAGTCATAAGACGGTTCCCTTCTCAATAAACCCAGGATTCATCGGCAATCTGTCATGATCACGACTAATTATTGCTCGTTCACCACCGCCCTAACAAAGTGTGATAACTAGGAGTATTTGAAATGTGGTACAAACTAGGGATCCCAGAAACATTACAATTTAGTCAAAAATTATTAGATATATACGAACGAATGCATTGTCTTTGGAGTTCAAAATCAAGCGTTCCACAAATACAAATTAGTTTGTAGCGTGGCGTCGAGTCGAGATTAACTAACCAAGAAACACGTGCCAAGTAAATAAGAAGGCGAAGGTTGAACGTAACCAGATTTATTTGGTTGGCGATTTCGTGGTATTAAACGAATACCAAGATCGTGCCAAGGAATGGTACAAGTGGAAGCAGGAGAAAGGAGTACGTGCAAACAGTACCAAATACCGCGGAACAATGATAGAAGGTAATGGAAGCACAAAATGGCTATAATTAACACAGTTAAACAAAAGCACATTAAAACAAACACTGGTACAGTTGGTTATAATCATAATTGTTTTTATTAAGCCAGTCGTGTTCTCGTGACAAATGTTAGTCACTACAGGGGACCCCCGCTAGAACGGGTTTACACTTTCGATAAATAGCGGTTTGAATCGTGGGACTGATCGGCTGACGAGCGATTGTAGGACGGAAAGATTGGCGAAACAGGAAAGCGATCGTTGATCGTCGAGTTGCCAACGAAAGTCGTTTTCGGAGAACGGTACCAGGAGCGATGTGCTGTATTTGTTGCTTGAGTTGGCATGCCACACCAGAGTGATTTGTATCCAGAATCTGAAGATTGCGTTCGTAGGGGTCCGGACCATAAACGCTGCAGACGTAGGACGAAACCACGTTGAGCCGATGAACCAGAAGCGACCATAACGGCCGAGTTCGAGAGCAAGCGTATGCCAAACATTCGAAACCAATATATCGACTGAGTACGTTGACAAGAGCGTGGGTGATCAGGCCAGCTTTCGCCAAAGTTGACTGAAGTCGATAGTACCAAGCGGAGATGGTCGAAGGCGAGGACTCAGGAAACAAAAAGAAAATAAAAAAAGAGAAGAGTGTAGCATGGGTGTAGCATGGGAATAATCCTACACCGTATCGGTTGTTCACTGTGCGACTATTCGCGGAAGCGTACGGGTAACCGTACTCGGCGACCGGAACGTGAGACGGCAGCCTCGTTCGCGTCGCGTGAGATTGCAATCTCATCCAAAGTCAAGGGCGGCGTGGTCTGCTGATCTGGACGTGAGACTGTCGTCTCGTCTGTAGACGGTGCAGATGACGCGTGCTGTTAACCGGGACGTGAGAATGAGGTCTCAGGTGTATCTAGCGTGGGACCTGAAGATGGTTTGAGGATCCCGCCAGTAGGTTTGATAGATCTAGCATTGAATCTCAAGTTATCAGATAGGGCACTGTCATCGACGTGTGCCAGTTTGAGACGATCAATGCTGACAATCTCGACGCGGCCATGTCGATCAACCGTGAAGGTCTTTTCGTGACGAGCGATCACGTGAAAAGAGCCTTCGTAAGGTTGTTGCCAAGGTTTGCGTACCGAATCTACTCGTATGAAAACATGTGAACAGGTAGATAACTCTCGAGGGAAAGCGACCTGTCGATGTTGTATTCTAGTTGACACCGGAGATAGCGTTCGCATAAATGCAGACAGTCGATGGACGTAGTCTGATTTACCGAAATTAGGTCTGCTCCGTGGTGTGAAGAATTCTCCGGGCAGACGCAATGTCGTGCCGTATACCAGTTCAGCGGCGGAACATTGGATATCTGCCTTTAAGCTCGTCCACACCCCTAAAAGAACGAGCGGTAAGGTTTCGTGCCAGTTGCCGTTTTCGTGTGCTCGTAAAGCACTTTTAAGTTGGCAGTGAAACCGTTCAACTTAACCATTTGATGCTGGGAGGTAGACGGTAATGCGTATGCATTCCGTACCAAGCAGCCGGGTCAGCGAGAAGAATAGTTAATAGGGGAAAATTTCTCGAATAAAGCGTGGAATTTGTCGTCACGCGGATAAAAAGTGCCAAGGATTCGGTACACATACATGGGAGTCTATTATATTAATACTATTTTTATCGTTATCCGTCATGTCGCGTATATTATATATTGAAAGATAATATGAAAATATACGACAGACGTGCATAGATAAACTATAGACTCACCGAATTGGCTTCTTTGGAAGATTTGGCCAGAGGTTGAGGTGTGTTCCAGAATTCAGCTCACCAGTTGTAGCGTGGTGTAGAGTTGGGATTAACTATGAACACCGCTACAGAGAAACACGTGCCAAATGAATCAGAAGGCGAAGGTTGAACGTAACCAAATAAATCCATAAAATCCTCGAGAAGCCAAATATCAGAAGGCAGTTAATGGACCAAGTCAAGATATATTTGCTGGCGATTTCGTGGTATAGAAAGGATACCGAGATCGTGCCAGGATACAAGCTTGGTTACAGAACGTAACTGAATTCGCGCGAAGTCACAATCAAAGTGTAAGAATAAGAATAGAAGCACAAAATGGCTATAATTAACACAGTTAAACAAAAGCACATTAAAACAAACACTGGTACAGTTGGTTATAATCATAATTGTTTTTATTAAGCCAGTCGTGTTCTCGTGATAAATGTGAGTCACTACAAGTTCATACAAGCACCACACAAACTCTTTACTAAAATGTTTTGGTAAAGCTTCAGCATTTGTGACATCATATCTTGCCAACATAATCAGATTTTCCTGCGCCAAATGTGATGGGATTCTTTACCTCATCTGAGTTTACCCCTCTACATATGAGAATGACTTTCTCGGATTGTTTTCACAATTATTTTTCATTTTTGTCTTACTGATCAATGCTTTACAAGCATTCCTATTTTGCAATAAATTAATCTCTACTGTTCTGAACATGTAGATGTGAACGTATTCCAGTACTTTTTCCTACGTCCAAGTTTCTTGACTAGCTTAGTTATTCATGGTGGACCTTTTTTAAACCTACATGGTACTAAGAGTGATATAAAACGGGGCGTTACTAGATTAAGCCCAACTTTAGATAGAGATCACGTCCCTTAAACTGATGAGTAAGTGTTTACTGACCAGCATGTTGTTGCAGCTCACTCCTGAATGGTTGATAGGTTTCTCTCCACGTATTCGGGCGAGGTTTAACCTGATCGTATATTGTGTCACACTTTTTCAACGTGATTGACAAAACAGCATGGTCGCTATTTGCTAACGGTGGGAGAACATTTAGATAGACAATGCAATCGATCACATGAGTGATTATCCATTCTAACAAAGATCTTTAGTTTGAAACAACTTTTGGGTTCGAATACATGCTGTACTAAAGCATAATCAATTACCTTTATCAGAAACCTATCATCGAAGGATTTTACAGATCCTACGGTGTCCATGTCAGTCTCACTAATGCCAGGTGCATTAAATATTCCGTTATCAGGCATCCATTATTTTTAATCCATAGCTGTATGTGCTCTAAAACAAAGTGATCAGCTAAGCAGATCGGGTTACGATAGATGACGCCAAGTACGGGTGTGCAGTATTCAAAAGTGAGTCCACAGTTAATGTTTTCTTAAGTTCCACTATCATTTGGTTCACAAACAAAGGAACGGATGCTTATATTATTATCTATGTATGTTAGGACTACACCGTACTTTATGGATCTTTTCCTAACACTTCATAGGTAGATGTATCCGGATAACTCTGGAGTAACGTCGAAGCCATGGACTAACCAATTTCCAGTCATAGTCGGGATGACTAGCTTTAAATCATACATCTAGTTCATATAATTTATTTCTTAGAATATGAGAATTGTGGTGGTCGGTATTCGATATAATCCTTAGACTTCGTATACAGCTTGTCTTGATAACCGTTCTATATAACGTCCCAACGGTTTATTAATCAGAAGGCAAATACGAAGGGTTGATTACGTTTATTGCAAGACCACACACATATATTCAAATGTACAGATGCGTTAAACAAGCATAGAAGAGTTGTGCCGAAAGGCAAGCAAGCGAGCGAGAGCCAGAGCAAGAGCGAGACGAGAGTGTGTGAGTACGAATAACATGGACATATATATAGCATGTGAAATGAATGAGTAATCGAATCAAATAATCAGTTAGTAGTAAGACTAGCAGAGTGAATAAATGCGTAGGCCGTAAGCAATATTCAAGCATACGTATTTCATACAAGCACAAGATAATAAGGGTACAATAAGTTGTTATAGTGCGGATGACTTTGTCCGCTAAATGAGTTAGCAAACGGGCTTAACTGCGTTAGATGAGACTAAACTCATTTGCACGTGAGTCGCTATAGAATTTGCAGATAAAACTTTTAAATAGAACGACCTATCCATTCAGGCCTTGATAGCAATCGCTTCCACTACTTGACTACTCAGAAATCCATTAAGCGGAGATTTTCTTCACCATTTTTTGACAGATTTCTAGTTTAGCTAGTGTCGCCTTCTTTTTTATTCTATCTTCTAGAGAAATATGAGGTCTTATTCAAATGTTGATATTATCGTGACTCCGTTGTTTCTCCAACACCAGGATTGCTTTAAGGAGTCTGTGTGGTCGGATTTCAATAATTCCAGCGGTCCGTTTACCTACTCTTACTAACTTCACGACCTAAACTCCTGTAGGGTTATCTGGCAATATGCTGCGAAAAAATTCCCTAACCATTTTTCATATCATCAGAATGTCTAAGTTTTTGGATAAGAGTCATTTGATTCTAGCAAATTACTTGCATTAATTTTCGATGAGATTAATCTTTCGTCATACGGAGCTTATTAGAACTTGTTTATCCGTTGATATATTGGAGGCCCATCATCGTCCTTTATTTTCGTACTTCAGACTGTTATCTACGAACAACCATTATTGCACTATCGCTTGAAATATAACCGTTGATTGTCTATAAGTTCAT